AAAAAAAAAAAAAATCCACGGACTTTGTAATCAGACATAGTTCATTTTTAAATCCCAGCTCTATCATTTATTAATAGGTATCTCTTTATCTCTTCTTTTTGTCTGCCCATTACTTTTCTTTAGGTAACTCTTTCCTACTGCATGTGATCTTGGTAAGACCTTCAACCACAGTATCCCGACACCCCTGGACCACAACAGTGGGTGTGCCAGCGAGTTAAGGCCAACTGTATGAACAACTCACAAAGTCCTCAAATATTCTCAATTTCAACGGCTTTCATTCAGACTCTTCTTCACTATGCCTAAAACCACATTTCAGTGTCAAAAACTATAAAGAGTCTTACTGTACTTGTAAAGTGACAAGTTACTTGTCTTGGACTTATCTTACTCTACTTGTAAAGTGACAAGTTAGTCTACCACAGTTTAATGAATGTAGGCAGAAGATGACACAAGACTCCTGCATTGGACACAGAGGACTTTAATACTCATGGCAATAGCAAAAGCCAGACTGTTAGCATTTGCCTAAATTCACCCTTCTGACAGGGTGACCTGGGGCCAGATGACATGTATACACACAGTGGACTGAATTACAAGAGAAATTTGAATGACAGTGCCTCCATTTTCCAAGGCTGTTTGCTTGCTATATAAACAACCTTGAACAAAAGCAGTCAGGGCTGACACTCAGGAAATGTGTATAAATGTGAGAACCATGGAGAACTGTCTTCCAACAACTGGAAGCTGCCATCACTCAACATATCCCAATCGTTTAAGGATCATTAAATCACAATGATCTACTCTTTCTTCATAACCCTGCAATTAATTCACACTCTTACTATACTTATTCTTGAACCTCACTGAGTCCTCTAGGCCCATGCTCCAACATCTCCTACAACTCTATGTTCCAGCCCTTCCCTAGTTCCACTACATCTATTATCCCACCTCAATCTCATGATCCATTATTTTAAACACTTTTGAAAATAACACACTTGGCCTCCTTATTTGTATACCCAATCTGCCTAGCAGTATCTCTGATAGGGTTCTACCCACATCTACTTTTCTTTGCTCTATTATCCAGGTGACCTAGTTATTCACCTACATGCTTCTCTTCTTTCTTCCCCACCAAAACAGAAGAAGACACAGTATTATTTTTCCTGCCTACTCCTTTTGTCTTCAAATCTGAGATTCTTTTTAATTTTTTGTTTTAAGAGATTAGGTCTTACTCTGTTGTCCAGGCTGGAATGCAATGGCATGATCATAGCTCACTGCAGCCTTTAACTCCTGGGCTCAAGAGATACTCCCACATCAGCCCTCCAGCAGCTGGGACTACAGATGCAAGCCCAGCAAATCTGAGATTCTTAAAAGTTAAGTACTCTCACTATCTGTACTTCCTCACACCCACTTTATCTACCAATAAATATACTGAAACTCTACATTGAAACTCCTCTTCAACGACTTCCTTTGTGCTAAAACCAAAGGACATAACATTTATCCTTCTACTACTCAAACTACTCTTTTATTTCCTCTGTAGACTCCACCCCTCCCCGCTACTGAGAATGATACAATTAGAAAATTACCTTTTGTCAGCTATTATTTATTTCAGGCTAGACTCATCAGTGAATGCTAAAACTTGTGGGTAAAAATTTAATAAGAAACAGGATATGTGCCCAAATCTCAGGGTGTGGTAGACAGCCTCCATGCCCCCAATGATCTTTGCACCTATGCAGTGCCTACCCATACTGAACAGGTTTACCTATGCATCCAATACAGAGTAAAAATAACAGTATTTTTTTTGTTAAATCCAAGTGGTTAAAATGGCAAATGTTATGTTATATATTCTTACCTCAAAAAAACCTTTTTAAAAAAATAAATAAAAACACATTCAGCCAGAAAAAGAAAATGATACTGTGTGACTTCTGAGGCCAGGCCATAAAACACATGGCAGCTTTTGCCTTGCTCTTAGATCAGTCACTATGGGAAAAGTTAGGTGCCATGTCACATGGCACTCAAAAGTCCCTAAGAAACAATTCATGCAGCAAAAAAACAGGCAGCCACCAAATCGTCAATCATGTGAATAAGTCATCTTAGAGAATATCCTCCAGCAGCTGGGTGTGGTAGCTCCTGTAATCCCAGCACTTTGGGAGGCCAAGCTGGGCAATCACCTGAGGTCAGGAGTTGGAGACCAGCCTGGCCAACATGGTGAAACCCCATCTCCACTAAAAATACAAAATTTAGCCGGGCATGATGGTGCGCACCTGTAGTCCCAGCTAATGGGGAGGCTGAGGCAGGAGAATCGCTTGAACTTGGGAGCGAAGGTTACAGTGAGCCAAGATCATGTCACCTCACTCCAGTCTGGGAGATACAGCAAGACTTCATGTTCAAAAAAAAAAAAAAAAAAAGGGCAGGGCACAGTGGCTCACGCCTGTAATCCCAACACTTTGGGAGGCCAAGACAGGCAGATCACCTGAGGTCAGGTGTTCAAAACCAGCCTGGCCAACATGGCGAAACCCCATCTCTACTAAAAGATACAAAAATTAGCTGGGTGTCGTGGTGAAAGCCTGTAATCCCAGCTATTTAGGAGGCTGAGGCAGGAGAATTGCTTGAACCTGGGAGGTGGAGACTGTAGTGAGTCTGAGCCAAGATTGCAACCCTGCATTCCAGCCTGGGTGACAGAGCTAGACTCCGTCTCAAAAAAAAACAAAACAAAACAAAAAAAAACAAAAAATGAGAGTATCCTTCAACTTTAGCCTGGCCTTTAAATGACTATAATCCAAGCCAACAATGTGAAGGCAATCTGATAACAGACTCTGGGGCAGAAACACCCACTAAATCCAAATCCAAATTCCTGACCCACAGAAGCTATGAGACTATAAATGTTTATTGCAGTTTTAAGCCAGTATATTTTAGGGTAAATTACTGTGCTACAATAGTTAACTAACAACACAGATTTACAGATTACTCCTGGGTATATGTTACCAGGAGAGGGCTGTTCCCATACAATAAAACCTGAAAATGCAGGCGCTGCTTGGAATCAGGTAGTAGACAGAAGCTGACAGGACTTGCAGTAGAGTATCAGCGAAAGCTTGATGAGCAATGAAGACACTGTCACTAGAAACCTCATGATCCTTAGGAGGCTGCTACTAAGGGCTTTAAATGAAAGTGAGAAAAAGGTAACTGAAAATTGGAAGAAGCTGAATACTTCATAATTAGTAACTGAAAGTTTAGGCACAACATGGCCTGTGGTAACATGAAAAATAGAAAATGTATTTAACGAGTTGCATAATTTAACATGGAGATTTCTAGGTATTCTGTGGGAGATGCAGTCTAACTCCTTCTTACTGTTTATAGTAAAAAGCAGGAGTACAGAAATAAGCTAATGGAAAGACTATTGACCAGAAAAGAACCAAGCCTTGCTGGTTTTAAAAATTCCCAGTCTCTCCAGATAGCAAACAATGCTAAAATCAAAGAATGGCTCCCAGAGAAAATCTCGGCCACTGTTAGAAAACAGCTGTATGAAGATTAAAACAAGAGTGTGGCTGTAAACTCGTTTGTTAAGACCTAAGAAAGACAGAAAGCAATACCTCAGATAATCTGAAATAGGACTTTAAGAGATGTCAAGGTCATAAAAAACAATGAATGAGGACATATTCCAAACTGGGAAATACTGAATAGACATGACAGCTAAATGCAACTTGTGATTGGATTGCATCCTGGACCTGGAAGAGTAAAAGGTTTCCCCCTTTGGTGTAGATGACATCAGCGGGTGCAATCTGAATATGATCTGTAGATTAGATAATAATCTGTAACAATATTATTTTATTGATTTTGATCACTATACTTTGTTTAGGAAATTCCCTTTAAAACTATACACTACGGTACTTGGGTTAAAGAGGCATTGTATTTGTAATTTACCCTGCAATGGTTCAGAAAGATTCTATAGAGAGTAGAGGAGAAAGAGAGCCAGCAAAAGAGGGTAGAGGGAAGGACATGGTAACATTAATAGGGTAAAATGTTCACATTTTTGGAATGAGTGAGTAGTATAGCATTATTATTTGTAGTGTTTTTGCAACTTTAACTTTGAAATTATTGAAAAACGAAAAGTTAAAAAAAAAATTAATCCTACTGGCTGCCTGGCTCAACGCCCAAGAATGAAGTCTAAAACTCCTTATAAATTCTTCATAAACTGGCCTCTTCTTAGCTAGTCTCATCTTACCACACTCTTCAGTCTCACCCAACCTACCCTCACATTCTAAACTGATGTTCCTGAAAAGACCTGTCCTCTCTTAACTCTTCACATAAATAGACTCTGAAAGGTTCAACTTGAGCGCAAGATTCCAAAAGGAAAGTAAACAAAAAGGACAGAGGTACCAGGTAACTCTCAATGCTAGAAAACTTTTACAAAGACATAGAAAAGTCATTCCAATGATTTGACTGAGAGTTTTATTCCTTTGAGGGCCACAGAAGAAAGTAGTCTAGCTCTCTTCAAAGAGACGAGTAATCCTATTCTATGGTTTAAGTGTGGTGTGTTCCTGCCAAAACTCACGTTGAAATTTGCCAATGTGATAGTATTGAGAGCTGATGGGGCCTTTAAGAGGCATTTGGGTTACGGGACTATCCTCATGAATGTATTAATGCAGCTTTCGTGAGGCTGGGTTGATTCTTGCAGGAATAGATTAGAAGGCTGCCTCTCATGTTTGGTCTCCCATTCTGCACATGTGTACCTGTTTCCCCTTCAGCTTCTTTGCCATGTAAACGTAAGAATCATAGACTTGGAGGGTAGCATGCACATGTGATTTCTAGTAATTTTCAAAGTGCCTTGTGCTGATTCTCACGGGCCTAGACATCTGCCCCAGCTCTGCCCTGGATTGATAGCTTGTATCGATCTTGATGAAAGAGCAATTGATGCTCTCAGGGAATTTAATGAAGGAGCTCTGTCTGTACTACAGCAGTTCAAGGAAAGTGACTTATCACATGTTTAGAACAAAAGTGCATTTTTATGTGGAGTTATGAAGACCTATAGGCAGAGAGAGAAACAGGGGAGCTAGGTGCAAGAGTCCACAAAGGGACCTGATGAAGCAAAGATCAAGGCCTTGCTTGAGAGAACTGGTTATACTCTGAATGTAACCACAGGACACAGGAAGTATGGTGGGCCTCCATCAAACAGTGTGTACTCTGGCATGCAACCTGGAATTGGAACAAAGGTATTTATAGGTAAAATACCAAGAGATTTATATGAGGATGAGTTGGTGCCCCTTTTTGAGAAGGCCAGTCCCATTTGGGATCTATGTCTTATGATAGATCCACTGTCTGGTCAGAATAGAGGGTATGCATTTATCACTTTCTGTGGAAAGGAAGCTGCACAGGAAGCTGTGAAACTGTGACAGCTATGAAATTCGCCCTTTGGTAAACAACATGGAGTGCGCATTTCTGTGGCAAACAACAGACTTTTTGTTGGATCCATTCTGAAGAATAACACTAAAGAAAATATTCTGGAAGAATTCAGTAAAGTCACAGAGGGTTCGGTGGACGTTATTCTCTATCATCAACCTGATGACAAAAAGAAGAAATGGGAGTTCTGCTTCCTGGAATATGAGGATCACAAGCCAGATGCCGGCTGATGAGTGGAAAAGTAAAAGTATGGGGAAATGCAGTTACAGCTGAATGGACTGACCCTGTGAAGAACCAGATCCAGAAGTTATAGCTAAGGTAAAAGTATTGTTTGTGAGAAATTTGGGCACAGACGAAATATTGGAAAAGTCATTTTCTGAATTTGGAGAACTTCAAAGAGTAAATAAGTTGAAAGATTATGCATTTGTTCATTCTGAAGACAGAGGAGCAGTCGTTAAGGCTATGGATGAAATGAATGGCAAAGAAATAGAAGGGGAAGAACTTGAAATAGTCTTAGCCAAGCCACCAGACAAGAAAAGGAAAGAGCACCAAGCTGCTAGACAGGCCTCCAGAAGCACTGCATATGAAGATTATCACTACATCCTCCTCCTCGCATGCTGCCTCCGATTAGAGGTTGGGGGAGAGGTGGATATGGCTACCCTCCAGATCACTATGGCACGAAGATTACTATGGTTATTATTATCACAACTATCATGGAGGTTATGAAAACTCCCTACTACAGCTATGATGATGGCTATGCAGTAACAGAAAGAGGAGGAAGGGGAGGGCAGGGTGCTCCACCACCACCAAGGGGGAGGGGAGCACCACCTCCAAGAGGTAGAGCTGGCTATTAACAAAGGGGGGCACCTTTGGGACCACCAAGAGGCTCTAGGGGTGGCAGAGGGGGTCCTGCACAACAGCAGAGAGGCCGTGGCTGCGGTTCCCGTGGATCTTGGGGCAATCAGGAGGCAATGTAGGAGGCAAGAGAAGGCAGATGCTTACAACCAACCTGATTCCAAGCATCGTCAGACCAACCAGCAGAACTGGGTCTCTCAACCCATCGCTCAGCAGCCACTTCAGCAAGGTGGTGACTATTCTGGTAACTATGGTTACAATAATGACAACCAGGAATTTTATCAGGATACTCATAGGTAACAGTGGAAGTAGACAAGTAAGTGCTTGAAAATGATAATGGCAAGATACGACTGGCTCTAGATCTACATTCTTCAAAAAAATTTTTGCTTAACTATTTCATCTTTAAGTAGCAATTTGCTGCCATTTGTATTGGGCTGAATACATCACTATTGTGTATATACTCAAGTACGTTTATTTTTCCTCTTTTCATAAATGCTCTTGGACATTATTAGGCTTACAGAGTTCTCTTATTCTGGGAGTTATAATGTTTTTATCACTTCAGGCTTCATTTTAGCTTCAAAACAAACTGAGCACACTGTTAAGTCATGATTTTGCAGAACCTTTGCTTTTGAAGAGTTTCATTTTTTTGGATCTAGGATAAATTACGTAGAAGTATGGAGTATGCTGTAAATAAAAATACAAGCTAGTGCTATGTCTTAGCAGTTTTAAGAAATTAAAGCAAACACATTTAAGTTTTCTTGTACCGAAAATAACCTATGATTGTGTTTTGCATTTTTAGAAGTAGGTTAACTGTGTTTTTAAATTGTTGTAACTTCACGCCATTTTGAAATCTGCCCTACAAAATTTGTTTGGCTTAAACATCAAAAGCCATGAAAATTTGTTCTTTGATATGATTGTATTTTCAATTTCTTATTCATGTACGATTTCAACAAAACTAAAAAAATCTATTCAGAAAAAAAAAGAACCATAGATTAAAAGTCAACACAACTCCATTTTCTTCTAACCACTATAAGTTACTGCAAATCATTGACCTTTGAACAAGTCATTTAAACTCTCCATGAAAACACAGCTTCACAATTCTTAGAGGGCTTTCTAAAAGATTTAAAATTGAGTGGGGTAGAAGTGAGGCTGGTGCTTTTAAAACTTTCTAACAGGTATAAAAAGAATTAGAAAAAACTAACAGAGTCCTTTGACAGCAATAACTCCCTTACTAAAGATCATTCCTAGTGATTTTGACTAGTCAAATCAACTGTGCATTCTATGTATGACTTGTGTTACTGAAGGAAAATACAATTCTGTTTTACAGTTGTGACATATATTTTGTGTGTGCGTGTGTGTGTGTCTTTGTGTGTGTATTTGATCTCCGCCCCCAGTTTCTGGCACAGAACTTCTAAAAACCCTTTGACGTCCTGAGTGATGGGGTGGTAAGAGCATTTTTTGTTATAATAGTGGTCTTATTCTCAGATTCCTGGCACAGAGCTTGTAAAACTCTTTGAATTCCCCTAGTGATCATAAGCCCCTTTCAACCACACTTGAGTTTACACTAATAAGGTAAATCTTGGAGGATAGATGCTGGTCACCAGAGGAACCAATCATATGATCAGAGATTTGGAACTTTAAGCCCTACCCTAGTACCTCTGTGGAGGGGTGAAGGGCTGGAGGTTGAATTCAATCACCAATGACCAAACATTTAATAAATTGTGCCTACATAATGGGAAATCTCCACAAAAAATCTTAACAATGAAGTTCTGAGAGGTTCCTGGTCAGTGAACACAATGAGATGCTGTGTGGGTGGAGCACCTGGAGATGGCATGGAAGCTCTACCTACCTCCCCATAACTTGTCCTATGTGTCTCTTCCATCCAGCTGTTCCTGAGCTGTATCCTTCACAATACATAATAAAAAATAGTGTTCTGGAGTTCTGTGAGCTACTGTAGCAAATTACCTAATCTAAGGAAAAGGTTGTGTGGAATCCCTAATTCATAACCAGTTGGTCAAAAGTACAGACGACAATCTGGGACTCGCAACTGGCCACTGAAATGGAGGCACTCTCATGGGACCCAGTATCTATGGAATCTGCACTAAGTCTAGGTAATATCAGAACTGAATTGTAGGACACCCACTTGGTGTCCACAGAGAATTGGGTGATTAACTGGTGTAGGAAAAAACCCACATGATTGTTGTCAAAAGTGTAATTATAGAACAACAGTACGTTTTCCTTTTACTAATCAATATCAACTAACATTAACAGGCATAATAAATATTAGAAGGCATTCTACTGAAATAATAATTCACAATTTGAACTCTTAGTGACTGAATTTAACCCTGACAGACATGGCTTTAATTAATTTCAAATATATACTCTGGTTCCTTTTAAAATATATACCAAATTTTTAATTTTTGCAGAAACTATCCTTTAAATCAGCCTGGGTGGTGGCTCACGCCTGTAATCCCAGCACTTTGGGAGGCCAAAGCAGGATGGCTTCTATGCAGGCATTAGAGACCAGCCTAGGTAACACAGGGAGACCTCGTCTCTACAAATTTAAAAAAAAAAAAAATTGGCCAGGCATGGTGGCACATGCTTGTAGTCCCAGCTACTCAGGAGACTGAGGGACGAGGATCCCTTGAGCCCCAGATATCAAGGCTGCAGAGAACTATTGCAGTGCCACTGCACTCCAGCCTGGGCCACAGAGCAATACTTCATCTCAAAAAAAAAAGAAAAAAGAAAGAAACAAGAAAAAACAAAGTATCCCTTCCTTATTCAAAGCCATATTTCACCATTAACTTTTCTTCTCCCCTTGCTCGCACTATAGGTAGTACCTAACCAGTGCTAATACAGCTTGAATCACACAGCATTTCTCTGCAAAGCAAAGGCTATATATTTTTAAATTTTTCCTATAACCATATGAAATTATAAGTTGTTGTTTATTTCATTTTTAAATAATTTGGATACCACAGTATTTAATATTAAATATAAAATAACAATATCACTTATTTATACTTCAATAAATAGTATTTTTAAATATACAAAGAGAAACAGATGCCAGGATCAATGTGGTGGACCAGGCCTGAGGCACGACAGAAAAGGGGCCCACATTCATGGAAAATGAAACTGGTCTTCTTTTGCCCTGTGGGCCTCTCATCTCTCGTTTACCCCCATGGGCAGTACATGAGGCAGGGGTGTGGAATCACACTCAACCTCCCTGCCTCTGCCATCTCCCTTGTGGCACCAGTGGAGATGGCGGGGGTGGGAGAGGAGAGAGAAGCGGTCGTCCAACACGGCAGGCACCCCTCGCTCACCTCCTTTTTAAAAATTAAATTCTTGGCTGGGCGCGGTGGCTCATGCCTGTAATCCCAACACTTTGGGAGGCTGAGGCGGGCGGATCATGAGGTCAGGACATCAAGACCACCCTGGCTAACACAGTGAAACCCCGTCTCTACTAAAAACACAAAAAAATTAGCCGGGCGTGGTGGCGGGCACCTATAGTCCCAGCTACCCAGGAGGCTGAGGCAGGAGAATGGCGTAAATCCGGGAGGCGGAGCTTGCGGTGAGCCAAGATCGCGCCACTGCACTCCAGCCTGGGCGATAGAGCGAGACTCCGTCTCAAAAAAAAAAAAGAGGGGGGAAGTGGGGATCATGAGGTTAGCAGATCGAGACCATCCTGGCTAACACGGTGAAACCCTGTCTCTACTAAAAAAAAAAAAAAAAAAA